GCAGAGGAAATACAGGTACTACGTGATTTAGCAATACGGTTCGGAGTTTTTGAGTTTTTCTAATCTACTTTAGACTGATCGATCGTGCAAAGGTACTACCGATTTCACATTTTACTTCGTAGTAAAACTGAGGAATGTGTCTTCATAATTATCACAATCAAAAGTAGGTATCATTTCGTTTTGCCTGATACATAGTTTTATCATGTAAATAATAAAGTCTATATTTATAATACAAAGATAGCGTTGTCTTCGCAATTATAAGTATATCTTCGTTCTCAAAGGTCTGACATTTCCAGTATGACCCGAAAAGAAAATACCAGCCCATTATGCGCGTCGTGTATTTAATCCACATGAGTGACAGCCCTTATCCTGCGGAACTCTTTGAAGTCCGGTAATCATAAGGCAGAAGGTAATCATAAAGAAGGGAGAGGTATGCGTGGAGATTTTGTAATTTTAAATGAGGCTCGAAACATAGCGCAAATGGATCAAGCAGCTCAATCAATCAAAATGCTTAAAATCTGACACTAGGATTGGGACTTCTTGCAAACACGATGAATGATAGAAAACTTTGATAATATGACTAACCTACTTAGGTCCATTGGTAAGTAAGCAATAAACAAGACTTTTTACTACCTACTCACCTATTACAGACACAACTGCCGACAGTTTCAAGATGCTTTTTACAAAAGGCCTCTTTGTTTTTTTTTTAATTCTCAAAATCAAAAAGCCGATTTAACAGAAAGTTCTTATTATCCCTATATCCATACAAATCTACAGTTCACACTCATTTATAAAACCCCTAAGCAGGTAATATCCATTAGCGTAATTTTAAAGCAGTTTCACGAGCTGGCTGTACTGTAAAGACTGTTAAAAACGAGGTCGTCGGCTTATTATACCCGCAGTAATCTTATGCCTACAATTACACAGAGACGGGCCAAGATTTCCTTTCTTAATGCCTAATGTTGTTTTCGTAATTATATCTGAGCTGGGTCTCTTTTCTTTAATTTTAAGCTGACTCTAAACAATGAATTGGATTTTAAAGGTCACTTAAAAGCCGCTTGTATCTAGTTGGGTCGACTGGAAAGAGGCAATTATGAAAAGTAATTAAATTTTACGTAACTAATATTTTGTCAGTTTTCATATAGCAGTTTAAAAAGCGACTGTCTGGCGGGGAAATTAATTGGACATCTTTTTGGAAACTGTCATAGCTGGGCACCGTTAATCAAATAGTTAACTTCGTTAATCGTTAAACCGTTAATAAAAAAATTAACTTCGTTAAACGTTAAAACGTTACATTTAGCAAGATTTAACGCAAGTTAACGTTAATCGTTAATCCGTTAACACATTATAATAAAACGAAAAAAATTATTGTATGCAAGGTTCAAATGATTTCGAAAGCTTGTATCGCGCATGGAATTTATTCCTCTTTTTAGCCAGACAGTTTTGACAGTTCCAACTCCTTGCCAGACAGTTTTTAGGGTTCCGTAGTCTTGACCAGGAATCCTTATAGTTTCGATATGTCTGTCTGTCTGTCTGTCCGAGGTTTTGCTTGGAAACTATTGGCACTAGAGAGCTGTAAGTTTGTAGAGGTATGTATATTGAAAAATTTTTTTTAGGGTAGCTAACATGTAAAGTGGGGATGAATTTTTTTTTTCATATTCTACCCCATCGTGTGGGGTATCGTTGGATAAGTCTTTTAAAATAGTTTAGAGGTTTCTAAGACCATTTTTCGATTTTAAGGGATCCGTTTGCAAAATGTCAAAATTTAGTGACCATTTTTGTCGGAGTAGGGCGTCCCCCCTCCCTTCCCCCCTCTAAAAACTAAACTGTTNCGTCAAATACCTACTATGAAAATAATATTTAAAATAATATTAAGAAACAGATTAAAAACAACAAGCCGTTTATTAGCGAATGCTGAAAACATATCTCCCAAGCCCGCTTATGACAGTTACTACAGAAAGGGGAGAAAAATGACAAATCGATTTGGCTCCATTATGGCACAAACGGGCACAATATAGAACCACCACAATAATATTCTGTAACCATCAAAAGACCTCTGGATCTACATATCACACGTTCCATTTCCTCTGCTATTCGCGCAACAAATTCTGTGCACTTTCAGAAAATCTTGCGAACGATTCTTTCGACGCTACAAGCAGTTTTTCTAGTCAATAAGGTCGAGAATTTGTTTGAAACGTCTTCGAGAAACGCAAATGTAAGCATGCCCCTAAACACGCCTTCCTCCTTTAATATTAGACATCATAGTAAAAAAGGAATATAGTCGTCGATACGAGTAATACCACGGAAACTAGCCCCATATTGAAATCCGTATATCAGCTTCTTTATGGCTTTGAAATGTGTAGCTTTTCAACATAAAGTTTTAATAGCAAGAAGATTTTCTGCACGACTGATTCGATGTCTTGAACAGCCGCAGCGTTTCTTTTAAGTTCTTGTGAAGAAATTGTGTGTTCAACCGCGAAAACCTTGTAATCAGTTGTTGTTCAGGGACTTGGAGCCTTGTAAGAACAGTTCTCGCTTTGTTCTTTTAGAACGTTAAGGACATAAATACCTCTCTAAAGGATATTTATCTTTTTTACTGGTTTTACCTAAGTACTTAAATAATATCAAAAGCATAATCTTGAAATCATAAATATTGTTTATCGGAATGGAAACAAGTTAATTTGCGATCTGTATCCTTACAAATTGGGTCCCTGTGGCGTGGTTGCAGGAAAACATCCGAATGTTTTTGACGAAGGCCAAGAGTTCACAATCCGCTGCGTTTGATCGCTGAGAAATCATGGAAATATTTGTGTTTTATTTTGTTACGAACTTGAATGAAATCAAGCTTAAAAAGAAAGTTTATTTTAGAATTAAAAAAAAGACACCTACATAATTATGTCATTAAATGTTATTTCAGGAGCGATCGGAAATCGGTGACGGTCAAAGTCGCTTTACACTGTGAAAATGGCTAATTTCACCATTTCTTTTTCACGATATTTTATTTCTTAGTGATGGTGGTTCAAACGCGTTGAATTTTAATATTCAAAGGAAAGGAGAAGCGTTGACGGCCGTCAATAAAATGATTGAGGAAAATACTATTACGAGTAAAGTGGCTATTATTTTATATTTTTTAGACTCACGGCAAATCGAAATTTTATGTCTTTCTTTCTCTTTCTCATAAATAGGCGTTTAAAAGTAAAAATTGGTTGATATGTCGTGAAAGTCCATAGCCATCTGACATCTAACATGCTGTCAATACCATGGATCAATTTCTTTAGGATCGAGCTTACTTTGTGGAAACTATTATTATTATTAAAAGGTATGTAATAGAAAAAAAAAATACAAAATTGTTTAATCAGAATCAGGTTTGAAAAAACAGGGTTTCGATTGGGGTTTTCTTTTAAGTATAAGTAGATACTTGTGTTAGAAAACCCCGCTCTCCATTTACAATAATTTACATTATGAAATTATACAACTAGGAAATAGGTGCCATGCATAAGCCTTGTTTGTTAATACTACTTACAAAGGACTAAATATGAGTACTTACAACCCAAAGTAAAACGGGCCTGGAAACGAGGTTCCTTATAATACAATAATGATGGAATTAGTCCTAGTTTTTGTTAAATATAAATTTGGTAAAGTGATTTCCCGGAATTCCCATTTTCTCTCTAAAATTTGAATTTGTCAGTAAATGTTATGCCATTTAACATTTTAAATGTACATTGTATTCCTGGTTCTTAGCTCACTTCTAAGAAAACCATTCTTAACAAATAGCCTTTCTTTCAAAAAACGTCGCTTACTTTCTTTTGAACATAGAGAAATATTGATCAAAGGAACAAAATCTTTTGGAACAATTATAAGCTCATTTCAGGTCGCAAAGCTCCGCAAAGCCCACGGTATGTTTTTGTAATAGGTACGGGGCCGGATATCAAATGATACTATGATGGATGGGACACTTAATAGAGCCCGCAGTCAAGGTCAGGGGTAGGCGTTTTGCTCCACGAGCGTGACAAAAAATCTATACTAACATTATAAATGGAAACTTGTCCGTCTAAAAGAATCAATTTAGAGAAATTTAGACAATGTGGACTTGAGAAAAGAACATTGTCTTATTGCAAAATTACTTGAATGAATGAAATAGAGGAATGTAAATTGACTTTTGGCACGAGATAAATAATGTACCTACTAGTTCGAATTTCCGAGTCATATCACAAAGATTTTCTGTCACAGATCAATTAAGAATCCGTGTATTTTCTGAAGTCCAATTTTAATCATGAAAGTGTGCTCCTAAAAATGTCAAAGCTTCACTAACGCTTTTACCATAAGAAAATCTCTGCTTAGAAACGCCATATCACAGAACCTCTCAGCTATATCGTACAGTAAAAATCTAGTTTCAAAATACCTACATAACACTGAACGTAAATTACGAGAAAGAATATTAGACGCGCAAGTTTCAGATGTCATAAATTCCTACAATATTACTAGGGCCGTATCATAATGTCGTATTATTTGCATACGCCGCACGGAGCGTATGTTCCGCACGTAATAAAAACTTTGCGCATTATTTCGTACAATAGCTGCTCTATCGGTAATAAAGGCAATAAAATGTACAATGATGTATGGGACACTGGTACGCTGGGTAACGTATAGCATGTATTCGGAACAATGGCCTTTTATTTTAAGAACCTGTGATAAAAATGTTGGATTGCAAATGAAAACATGAACTCGTCTAACGATCTGTCATTGAAATAAAAACCAAATTCCTACTCATTGGATGATAATAAAAAAACTTAATTCAAGGTTCAAAAACATGCTATGTAAGAATGAAGAAGACGCATCGTATTTAAGAAGTTTGTTATAAATATTTGGCAGTTGCGTGACTCTTACTCAATATTTAATACGTTTAACACGCGGTCTAACATAATACATCTTCACCTATTGTTTGTAGGCAGTAAAATACTACTACAACTAAACACCTGTTGAAAAAACTACAGACTTACCTAAAAGACAGCGTCGTCAGCGGCCGGTACGACTTGTGGCTATTGGGGTCCGACATGGGCGTCCCCCAGAAGTCGTTCTTGAACACTTTGAGCACATGGCTGCCACCGTTCACGTCACTGTTCGACACTATCGCGGGGATGTCGTCATGCACGAACTCTCCATCAAGACTATTCGCGTAAGTCAACGCACCCACGAGTGAGACGAGGGAATACACAGCCCAGTCGTTGTCACAAATGTTGCGCCAAGATTTCGCTTGCGACACTTCTTCACGCACAGGTGGTAACGAGCGACGCTTCATTGTGCTGTCTGAAGCTTAAAATCTTGAAAGTGTCTTAGAATATGAAATCCATTTGCTGGTAAAGTTCGTTATTCGAGACGGCATATTAATTTATTGTGATAATACTTTATATTAGAACTTTAAGGTACGTTAAAAGTCCACTATTTCAGAAAATCATTTGCAACATCACATTTTAAACACACGGTTCCCGACTCACTTGGCTACATCACTAACGTTAACTTGTTTAATCTTTCAACCACTCCGTTTGATAAATCGTTCCCTGCATACATCGGTATCTGCGACCGATGCTTAGCAAAAGTGCTTGTCTGGTTACCCTACTGCCGCTTGATGGATGGCGCGCGCGGCATAAATCAACATTTCGGGCGGCTACCCACTGGCGTCATATTCATGAGACCGACCAAGCGATGGACCGACGAAAAAGAAGCATTTTTCTTATTTCGTTTTTTGAAAAAGCCCCTTTTGTTCTTTCTTGATTTATGTTCGCGTAACCTGTAACAAAAGAAAGGTATTTATGAGCATTAGCGCCGAGCGTTTATGTAAAATAGTTGTGCGGACGCATTCTGTTGCGGGCCATTAGGTGTTTCGAATAATGTATGGTTCGGAATTGCATTAGTTTGTTGCAGCATTTATATCTAAATCCTTGCAAAAACATCGTTATTTCGTGATATAAATTGCAAATGAGTAACTAGTTGTGTGACTTATGCTATTAGTTTTGGTAGGATATAAAACGTTTTATTTTACTATGGCAAAAACGGTTCAAAGCTAATCTCATCAATCCGCTAAGAAATCACTATTAAAATCTATATCATGCCATCTATATAAAGCAAATAAATATTTCTGATTTCTGATTTCTGCGAAGTTTTATTGCATGCATTTTAAATCGCAATCTCTAGTAAAAACCCTATTGAATATCCTCGGATTATATCGCAAATGAATAATGAATGGCACTCAGTGGTGCACTGAATTCCAGAAATTGCAATTTCATCTCCCCGTCTTTACTCGGAGGAGGTCCCGTAACGACAGTTCGATTACGGCACCGATTCTAAGATATCCGGATTCACTAAGCGTCGCCCCGGACGGGCGTCCGGGCGTCCGGATCTCCGGACATGCATCCAACGTGTTGCATAATGATGTGGCGTGCTTAGCTAATAGATGTGCCCGCAGATAGCTTATGAATAAGCGTGGTGATTGTATGCAGAGCACTAGAGCGTGCTGATATGGTGTTAATTTATGCGTCATGCTCGGTTTGCTTGGAATGTTTGCTATTTGTTTCGTGTTGTGGTATCAAAATATTTCGTAACACATTCTAGTTCCTTTAACCATAAAACCTGATTAAATTATAAGCAATGAATTACTAATATGTATAAAATGAAGTGTTTGGGATAGGGCTAGCGATAATTTAAGGCGATGTTGCATGTGATGTCAATATTATCGACAAAAATGCCCCCATATGTGGCCCACCACACCACATTCCTCTTGGAATGGGGGGCTTAATATTTACGTGACTCTACATAAAAATTGTTTGTATTTCTTATGTTCCCGTTAACATTTTTGTGTAGAGTCACATAATAAAAAATACATTTAAAAAATCAAGCCCCCCCATTCTAAGAAGAGGGGGGTAGGCCCACATATGAGTGCATTTTTGTCGATAAAATTGGCATAATAACATCAATTATCAAATAAATCAAATCAAATAATTTATTGTGCATAAATTTGGGTACATTACATTTGCAGTAGTTATTGCAATAATAAAGTTAGATCGCCAAATCCTACCATTACAGGTGTATACACATTTCTCTTAAAATAAAATTAAAAAACTATTCCTTATGCTCCATAAAATCTTTCAAACTATAGAAACAATTTTTCAATAACCACAATAAAATTTAGTGAGCCATCGCCTTAAAGTAAGTTAAAGTAACTGAAATAGAAAAATAACGCCATAACTTCCCTACTCAACACACTTATTTCCGCTACCAGAAGCAAACAACATAACCTTCTGATAGCGATTAATTGACTTACGTACGAATGAGAAATAAAAAGTTTTTTAGTACTAAAACTGTTATTATGAATGTTATCTTTTTGTATTTATATCATTTTGTTTTCCTATTATTTCACAATGATTACAAACCATTTTTCTTATCTGATCATTGGAAACCAATTCGGGACACTGTTCGCATTCATTAGTTGTCCCACTGTCCCGGACAGGCCCGGAGCGTCCGGAACAAGTCGCGGCGCGGACACGTTACATAATGATGCGGCATGTTATTACTGTTTCGAATAGACATTAGATATAATAATGGCATGGTAAGTGGAACATGTAGAATTGATAGCACCTCAGGCTCTACATTTTTGTTGCAGTCGTTCGTTCTTTTTTTCTTCACTCCGACTCTAGCCCCAAACTAAGCAAATTATACTATGGGTAAGAGACAAGATTATTCCTACATAGGCTGTCACATTGTTAACTTTACATGTTGTGGTCTGAATCTATACACGTAAGATAAATTATTCATAGTATCACAAGGCTTGAATTATTAACCAACGATAAATTATAATTTGGACGAGAAGAATTTTATTATATCAATGATTACTTAACTGAATTAATACGAGATATGTGTCATATATAAAAATATTTTTCAGACAAATCATAACATAAAACTTTGCGTCTACCTTCATCCAGTCGTAGCTACACGTGACTAGTTAACACTAAAGTGGACCGTGAGTCGTGAAGATATAAGATTGCTCGCCTTCTTGGAAAAACGAACGGTTTCAGCGCCCAAACAAAAGAAACGTCGTCTACAACATTACGATAACTATTGTCTATGCAATGGTCACTGGTGGGCTAATATGATTGATTGTGCCGCTATTAGTTGCGCAGCCGATCCATCATCGTAATCCAATATTTGTCGCTGTAATCGCGCTGATTAACGACGCGACACCTACGAGTGCCAGTTTCATTGTCCGTGTGTGGATATCAATTACGAAAGCAATTTTGGTCGAGGGCGCCTGTCATCGCTGGAAAGGTTTGGTCACTCCGCGCTGCTACGATAGTACTCAGTTTAATTAATGGATTTTTACTGTCACTAGCTGTATTTTATCGGAGGTCGTCATAAATTTGTACGGCCCAATTCATACGATAGCCCCGACAAAACCTACTGAAGCTATTTCAGTGAATCCGACGGCAGGCAATAGTGACAAACCGGTAGTGACAGGTTACGGAGTTACTAATAAAATGTAACCTGTCGCTCGAGCTGGGATCTCGAAATACCAGGATTTCAGATGTATTATCCACGGGCGCTATAAACTAAAACCACATCTGCTAGGAAGGGAAACACTGTTTCTACTAAGGTTCTATTAACATCAATTTCATTAATGAACTTGAGCAGCAATACATTTTTCTTTACCGACTAAAATCAGGAAGAACTCGTAACTACATCAATGACAGAACTCAATATTCGTATTTGTTATGCAACATCTGCCTTTATTTACAGACACAGCAAATGGAGCTAATGCAGTAAAGAGATTAAGCCATCGGCTTTTAATTCATATAGTGTAATCCCACCGTACAAGTGAATTAAGGACGCATAACATTTGCATTCGCAATTGTCTGGGGCGGTCTAATATACCCACATAGTTTAACGGTAAACAGCCACCACAGTTACGACTGAAAGGTAAAAGCCTTATATTAAGAATAAACTTGGTGCAGTAAAAATATATTCGATAGATAGAGATCTTTTGATAAAGCTGACAAAGTTCAGGATGTTTACTTTTAGCTTATAATATGAATTAGGTACTTTTTCATTAATCAACAATGGGCTCTACTTTCGCTTTTTGTGTCTAAAATATTTCAGTTCTTTATCAAAACTAAACGATAAGTATTAGAGCAGTGGTAGTTCTATCAGTCGTTGTCGAATTAAATTGGTATGCTATGGTTATTTAGGTGTCCTGTTGACAAAATTGTTTTGAGAACTGGTATAGGTACTTATTATTCTTCGCTGAAACAAAATTGAAAGAAAAACAGTGTACCGTCGAGATCCCCTGTATTTAAAGACACAATCTTTTTGAAATAAGAAGCTCATCTTCTTTAGCTTTCATGGATGAGAGCGGTTGGCCCGAGGGGGGATTATTTATGAAGTGTGAGAGATTGGAAAAGCCTTGCACAATTAAGACTAGCTTCTTCTGCGTATATTTTTTTTACTATTTATTTATTTAAAACTTATTTGCATATTGAACAGGGAACAAAAGGTAGTCTTAGTGCCGTATGAGATTCTGTAAACTTTAGGCCATACAGAGATTATAGAGTATTTTTGTGTATTGGGCTTCTGTATGTTCAAACGCACGCAACATGAATTATATTATAGTGTCTTGTATTACTGAAAGTAAAATATTTTTTTTTACAAGACAGTCAAATCTGTTAAGATGTTACAGACAAGTACAAACTACTCGCACCTGTTAGTATTTATCAAATTAGTAAGTAAGTCTCTTTTAGACTTACTTTGTCTTCTTCTTACTTTGTCACATGTACAAGTTTATTCTGGCGGTCTGGTCTGGCTTAGTGTACTAAGCAAGAAAGCTTGTATCACAGCAGCCAATACAAACTCATTATTTCCAAAAATCATGTAAAATATGACTGGGTATAGGTTTTAGCTTTGAATAAATGTTTGGTCCTTCGAGCCGGTTCAAGTCGAATCTACAAACAAAACAAATCGAACACCGGATAGTTATCTCGCCACAGATTGTTTGGTTAGGATTAGGTATGATCGATTGCACCCAAGTCTTGTGGCCCGCACCTAACATTCCCTTAACAATAACTCCCTACCCCGCTTAAAGGGAACGGGAATCTTGGCGATACTTTCATAATACTGCGAGACTTTAGGGGATTTTATTTGATCATCGCTGTAGTAGCGGAATACCGATTAGAAATAATCCATCAGGGTCAGATTACGTAACTATTTTCTCAACAGCCTAAAATAACACAGAATTACTTTATCTCCTTTGGGTTTTGAAAAGTAGGTCTTAGCAAAGACTGCTTTTACTTAAATTTCTCAGAACGAAAATAGACTCTGTTTTTCCTTTATTAGGAAAGCCCAATTTTAAAAATAGATATTCTTTGAACCATCGGTTTTATCAAAAAGACTTTATCAATATTCTGTTTAACCTAAGTAGGTGAATTACCAAGATGGGTCTTGCTCTACCTTCTGCCTGTGTTTAAGTGAAGCTCATCGATAAATACAGCACAGATAACGCTAACTGGGGATAGGCAATCAATCATTAGTCCCATTGATCACCCGCCCTTCTCTGGACCGACCTTAGTTTAATAATGAACCGATAGTTTGAGTTTGCAAACTTCTGGGAGATAATAGTTTCATTTATCATTTATTTGGACGATGACCTTATGTGTCCCGAAGTTTGCGCCAGAACGTGTCTGTGAAGCGAAACTTTAGATATTGTCCAACTTTTGATTCATTGTTGAATTTTGGTTGCTTAACAAT